TACTTCCAACACAGAGTGGTGAGTTGCTTGAAGGGTGCCATGCGTGTCATAGTTTTCCCACGTATCTGTCGCCATTGTCCTTCTCAGTGGAAGCAACCTCTCACTGGAGTGAATCTGGCAGATTCAGGACGTATGTTCTATTTGGAATCAGGAATTCGTTTGCATCTGGAAAATTCATACAAGAGAAAAAATGACAGGCAACAATTAGCTGCATCACAATCTATTATGACATAACTATTTCAATGAGATTTCATATTTTGTTTCAGCTCTATCCCGTGTGTCCTGGAATTTCCTGGAAATCCTGTTCACATTTAAATCCATGTTTCTCTCGTCACATTCCTTGTGCTTTTTCCTGCCTCCTCCTCGGAATCACTCACTGTTTGTTCAGTTGCTTCTCTTTAGTTCTCAGTCTCCATGGTTCCATATCGCTGTATATATTTCTCTCACTGGATGGTCATCTAAGTCCTTTTCCATTTCATGCTAGTTAATCACCCTGTCTTTTCACACACTTCCACTGTTTCCTTTCCTACTGTTTGTCTCCCGGTAATTCCATCAGCTTTTTGTCTGCTGAATCGCTATCAACCTTTCTCCCTATTCGCAGCCTGGATCTCCCCGGATATCATCACAGATAAAAACAAACATTTAGCCGCTTTGTCCACCAGATGACTTGCTGATCCATTTTATTTATTCGAAGCATGGAAATATTATTGTACATCATTATCATTGCATGCCAGAATTTAACAGGAGTTACACTTTTAGAAGGAAACGTCAGTTAATAATGAACAGTCAGCGCAAAAAATTTATGTATATCCGACCTCAGATGCATCAATAGGCCCTACAAACTTGACATCAGGGCATCTGTTTCCAAACTCAAGTACGGTCTTCACTTATTTACAGAGTTTATCTACATACAGGAAGAAAATCAAGAACCTAATATGCTCACGTCAAGCAGATACACGAATGTGCTTCCCATTGCATTGTAACGCCATTTAAATCGAGTGAGTGGTCAACGACTGCCTCGCATCCAATTAATGTACCCAATCACAGCGAGAGGAGATGATGCCCCTCTCTGGTTGGAGGTGGAATTGACCTCAGTACGATGACAAGTGAAGTGCTCAAACGATCCCCCACCAGTAATTCACCGGGTAATAGAAAGGCTTTTTTTTTCTTGGAGAGGTTAAATGAGAAATCTGTCTCCAGGGCAGGTGAAGTGAGAGCGTGCAAACAATTTGGATTAATCCAAAGGTAAGGATGTAAATGTTCCTTTGCGTGAAAATCATCCTTTCGATTGCAAACCGGATTCAATCCCATCAAATCAATTCTTCAGTAGTATCAAAGAACTGCCCGTACTGGAGACCTCGAACAAAAATAGAAATTGCTGGAGGCAAACTCAGCAGGTCTTGCAACATCTGTGCCAAGAGAGTTAAAGTTTCGAGTCAAGATACCCTTTGTCAGAACACAACACTGGACTCGAAACTTTTACTGTCTTTTTTTCTATCTCCCCAGTATTATTCCTCATCCGCCATAATCACAAACAGAAAAATGCAATGATTGAAATTGCACCTTCAACACTTTTGATTTTACGTGATATTTTCTGTAGGGAAGTGTTTGCTTTAAAAGCAGATTTATTCTACTTTCCAGCAACTGTTTGTAGAGCCTCTTCACTCTCTCATTCGAAGCAAATGCTTCCATAGGAGACAACATCAATTGAAATCTCGTAATGTACCTGTTGTGTGTTATGATGAACGATTTAGTTATGAATATCAACACGTGATTTTGTTCTCACAGAATAGCTCCCACAGTTTATCGCTTCACATCTGCTGTTCATGAACTGCTATTCCTATCTAACGTGTAAGTCATTCCCAACTTCATTCATATAATAGGAGGCACTTAACTTATTGACTGCATTCCTGAGTTTAAACTATTATAATCGAATTGTTCACCTTCATCCCGCACTATCTTCTCTGTAGGGAATCCAGAGGATACTGCACAGATATTTTAATGGAAATCTTCGGTCAAGGTACAAGCACAATATGAGCTACTGCATTTCCATTCCTTCATCCAGCTCCCAGACTGAAATTTTTGAGGGGAAAAGATTCGGTTTAATTTCTGTACTGGTCCCTCTTCCGTTCACTGTTACCTCTCTGATGTCAAGCACTGGAGAAGAAACGAGCAGTGAGCTGTTGGATGTCACTTGCTGACGGTGTCAACAACGCACCAATCAGCAGAGACGACGGATGTTACTCGAAATTAAGTCAATTCTCGACTTTAACAATTTCAACTTCTGTTTCCATTGTCCAAATCCGCATTAATCTCCTAAAAGCATGTCTGTTACTTTATATTCATTCTTCACATTTGGAGCTCTCATAACTGGTGACTCATTTGAAAATCTAAACACTATTCCATATGCAGTCATCAATGATATCGTTTTAAATTTGCGTTCTCTCTATTTCGTAAATGTTCAGTTGCCAGATGATATTAAGTACGATAGCATGACGATAACAGAATGAAATTTTGTGCTTCTAAATTTCTGCAAGTGTTGGTGGTGCAGAATCTATCTCCCAGGAGCGGTTTCAGAGATGAGGTTTGAAAAAATGTACAGTGACGATTAGTTACAGTTATTCAATCACAGCCACTGCAAATTCTTTTCAACTTCATCGTCAGTAACGGGACAAGATCGTGACACTCTTGACCTATATTTCTAACTGTGGAGCTGTTATCAGAGCTAAGGATGTGGAGCCTCGATTTTCTGCTAATATTGACCGTGCGAGAAGTGAGGGGATATACACGGATTACTAGGACTTAACAAAAACACTGTCACTGGACAATGTCTCGACATGACTGCTTCCATCAGTTATGAATAAACGAACGAGATCTCAGACTGAAATTAAATCCAACAGCAGTGAATTAGTCGGAAGAATACAATGCAGTTATTAAATCAACCATCGAATGCATGCTGTATTACCTGTTTCTGCTGTTCATTGGTATTTTTCCCTCTCTGTTTGGATGCTGCTAGCTCAGAGTGAGGAGGGAAAATCTTTCCCTCTTTCATGCCATGTAGAACTCACAACTCTGCAAGCTCAGAACGACGAATCCTTGGGAGTGAGAAAGGAATCTCTCAATCTCAGTTCAACAACTGTATTTCTTTCTCTGAAACTACTTATGCCAGGCCATGAAAAGGGCAGTTCTTTGTTAGGCAAGTTTTAGATCAAGCTGTCCGTCAGGTCAGTTCGAACTCAAGATTTCTGTCAGATAACTTAGAGCAAAATGTTGTTCATCAGTTCAGAGAGAGATCATGTTGTTTCTACATTCAGTGAGTGATCAAATTATCTCTCCTGTCAGTTTATGACAACCTGTTTGTTTTTATCTTTTTTCTTTCATATAAAGAGTGCACCATTAATTTCCCTCTTCTCTGTCATCAACATATACTGTGGTTATCGATATGATCAGACCATGAGACCGAGGTCATCCTATTGCATGTTTACAGGAAGTGACATCAAATCAAATGCAACCAATGCTGTCAGGCTTTTCTTTTTCGATGTTCTGCAGATTTTTTGGGGCACAGAAATATCACTTTTATCCAGGAGCAAAAGCGACGTGGCTTTCCTTTTTCTCCCTCGTGTGGGTGACTTCCTTTGTTGGTAAGGTTGAAACTTTAAAAAGAGGGTTTAATCGCTGTAGGTATAAATTAGTGAAACAGAGCCCTCATATTAGACAAGTATCCGAGCCGGATTAAAGCACGCTTGGGTTATTGTCTGCACTTTTTTTTTTATCTCGTCCTTACCTGATGAATGAAGCTGAAGTTCGCAGTCAGAAGGTACGTGAGTGTTACTGCTGTAATGAAAGTGTTTTTGCTTAGCTCCCGTTTTCTGAAACAGCCCAGACAAGTAGTACAGGCTTACCATCTCGCAGCTATTGTCATCTGACTCTGCGGTCTATCACTGTGCAATGAGTCTCACATTCATGAGAATGCGCAACAACCTCGGACAATAACTGTAGGTTTCTGGGTCACAGCTGCTGCCTGAAGAGGCCTTCTTGCAGTAGCGGGTCACATACTGAAGCTTCAGTACATTCCGAGGCGGGAAAATCCCGAGGACAATCGACAACATCTGCAATTAAAACTGTTCACAGCAAATGCGGATTCTGATTGTTGCATTGACTATGGGAGGATTGAATTTGTTGCTGTTCTTTTTGAGACTCGCGGAAAAGTTTCTGCTCACTTTCATTGACAATACAAATTCTGCAGCTGGCCTGACACGAACCATTTCTGTATATCACTGTTTTGGACAAAAATGGAACAAATAATTTTCGATGTGAAATTCCAGGATTATGGACTGCAGCCCATTACTTGAGGAAATCCCGAATACTTGCTGTGACATGATTGAAGATCTCCCAATATTAAATATACACATATTAAAGACTAAGACTGCATAATGTAACAAGGGAAACAGGGTATATTTTCAGGATATGATGAGAACATAATGAGCAGTGATATTAATGGTAACAATCTGGCAGGACAGTCTGGGATTTTGTTTTGGAACACTTGGTCAGATAACTCATTTAATATAAAAGCCCAATTGAAAAAAAAATCATGCTATCGAATATTAGAATTTCTTTTGGAAATCTGAATTCACCGGATAAGGCTGTATATGAATAAAAAGTAGGTGTTTTTCTTTGTACCATCCGATAGTGCTGTCCTGTTGCAGTTAAATATCCATGAACTGCTGGAAAACAAAGTCAGTTCAGATATTTTGGCAAGCTATCCTTCCCAAACGCTTTCATTTATAACATGGCATAAATTCCTTAATCACATGCTTGTATCATGTTCAGAATGTATTCGTGTTAATTGGAACAGAGAAACCCTTTCCTAATACTGCACCTATCACTCCCTGGTCGCTCATATTTGGATATATTTCAATTCAATGCAGTTCAAGAAAACGTTTAGAAATGTCTTGGTTTCTCTGCAGATCGCACAGTTCTTGCCCCCTACCATCTCCTGTTCAACTTGTTCCATTACAGCAATGTTTTTGCACGAGGCTCGCTCTGGTTCCTGTTACTGTGTCTCTCAGCACACAGTAATACACAGCGCTGTCAGACAGTCGTAGGTCACCAATGGAGAAATTCCCCTCACTTTTCGAAGTGTCCAGAGCTGCAGAAAATCGATTTCCCACGCCATCTGATCTGAGAACATATCCGGATTGAAGGATGTAGATCAAAAGTGTCGGTGATTTACCCAGGTCTTGCCGGTACAATTGCAAGGAATATGAAGTAGCTATTTTGATCGAATAGTTAAAGTTAATGTTCACCGACTGTCCTTCAAGCTGTTTTGCTATAGCTGGCTCCTGTGAGATCGAATCTGCACAATTCGCTTCTGCGGAAATTTAAACAGAAAATAAAACTGAGTCTGAAATTACCGTTTTGTTCAATAATGTCGTCAAGATAAGAGAACATCTTGCAGGTAAATATCATGTACATGTCAACGTTTTGCGACTTGGTGAACTTACCAGTGAAGAGAACTGCAGCTGTGGTTAATGCATAAAATGTAACAGCTGACATGTTTTTAGAACGGATAGTGGATTTGAACGGAGGTAACTGAAGCTAAATTGTTTCAGTTGAAAGCTGACAGCGTGTTTCCACAGAGGGAGCTGAAGCTGAGTTGTTTCAGCTGATGTTGAGTCATATCTAACCTCACTGCTGATTGGTTTATTCCTGGTGGTCATTCGTAGACACCCAATCTGCTCACAACCTATTTGTTCTCCAGTCGGTTACGTCAGAAATATGTCCACAAGAACACAGAACGGGAGCTGGGGGAAGCCAGTTGACCCTTCAAACCTGCCGCTGTATTCAATAAAATCGTTGATGATATGCCTCAGATCCAACTTCCTGCATTATTCACAAATCCTTTTAGATACGTTATTCTCGATCCATGTGAAGTAAAGTGAAGAACAGTGCAAGGGATTCCCTGGTATACAAACTTATAAATTCAGCTTTGGTTCTTTAACAGGGTTGACCTCTGATTAGTTTCAGTGAGGGATAACACTGAATGCTGTTGTATCTGTGCCAGAGTCTTCTATGAAAATATCTGGCCAGTGATTATGAACAATACTCACAGTGAGAATATTTCATTTAGAATGAGACATATTCGAAACCCCGGGATGAAATTCTTTTGACAATCCAGTCTTTGCACACTTGTGGCCAGGTCATTGAGTAAATTCAAGACCAAGAGTGATATTTGTGGATATTAAAAACATTAAAAGCTGAGAAGGGAAAGTGGGCATATGGCGTTGAGATAGAGGATCAGTCAAATTATATGGCGGAGCAGACTCGAAAGAACGAATACCCTACTTCTATCTGTTTTTGATGATGGCACCAATGAACAATATACATCACACACCTGATTCAAGGAAAGGAGGTGAGAGTGTCCTGCAGATTTTTGTACAGGCGGATTACGCCTCTAAATCCGTGAGGAGCTGAACGCACAGTAATCAATGGCAGAGTCAGATACAAGAGCACAGTTGACTTTTACAGGAACCGTTTTCTCTTTTTCATCCAAATTAGTAGAAAACCAATCTGAGAAGTGAGGAGACTTATCAACATGTTCCTGGTGGAATTTCCTCAGTAAATATTTCAGAGCTTTCCTGGGGCACTGAATGTATCAGGAGGAAGTTGGTACACTGTATTTTGCCGTTTTACTGCAATTTAATACATCGGTTTGTCCTTTCTGAACGAATCATTCAGGCGGGTCCTGCGAAAAAGAATCTTGACCATTTGCTTCTGTAATAAATAAGTAGAATGTATCAAAGGTATGCGAACAAATGTAACCAGTGAAACACAGAACGATAATTTTGATTAAGTCTCACTGGATAGAACAACCGGCTATTATTATCAGTAAAGAAGCCAGGGAGTACATTTTATCTGGTTCAGTCATAAACAGCACACTTCTAAAATGTATTGACGCTTCTGGTATTTTACCAGCGACTGAACTCAGATCAGAGACAGCCTTTGTTTCCACAGAAATTGACAGCAGATTCTTTATTCTGTGACTGGCTGATGTCTCCAATCTGAGGTCAGCTGTCGAACAATCAACGTTTCTTGAGGACTCTCTTCCACCTTTGCAGTTCTTTGCGGGCTTATCTGCTTTTGTGCTGCCTCTTCCATTGTTCGTCTCTCTTTTACTTCGAACTCAGTGCCTCTATCTCTCGACCGGGGAATATTACTGTCTCGTTTACGTGAAAACCGCAAAGAAAATCACAATTAGATTCTCCACTATTTATCAACCATCAAAGGAATGTGCACTTATAATATTTATTGTTGCAAGAGTAGCAAGGTTAAAATAATAATTCATTCAACTTCGACCTGTATTGCTGTGGGTTGGTGATGGTGGTGGTGTGGGTGTTGGTAGTGGTAGGTGCTTATGAAGGTGGAGTGGTGTAGGGACTGGCAGAAGCAGTCTCAACGAAACTATTCAGCTTTTGCTTTCTCTCATACTTCCTTCCTCCCTTCACCCTCCAATTTCACAAAGATCCCTCTTGCTTTTCTCCATACCTCCGGTAGGTGTGCGCCAGGTGGAGAGAGCTGACAGATGACTGAATGAGTTGACATTGGGCGGAGAGAGGGATTTGATTGTCAGGCGTGAGGGGCTTTAAACTAGGTCCTGGGAGCCATAGTTTCTTTTGCCACGTGAACATACCAGGAGATATGTATCAGAGGTTTTTTATTTGTCTGTGTGTGTGAGAGAGAGACTGTGAGGCTATTCTTGGAATCTCAATACCAGTTTTGTTTCATTCGGTTCACTCCCTTCCCTGAAACAGCCAGGCTGAACAAAACCCCACTGGAGCAGGGACTGTCCTTCATGGGAGAGAGAGAGAATGAGAAACCATCAAGTGAGCTGAGTCCCACTGCAATGTCGAATATTAACTCTTTAGTCACTCCATGCCTTTACTTAACTCCTGTTTGTCTCTAACCGACGTTTTCCCTTTTCTCTCTGTCTTACTCCCTATTTCTCTCTTGTGCTGTCCCTTTTTCTCTCTTTCTTTATGTCTTTGCCTCTTTCTCTCATTGTGTCTTCTTCTCTCTTTCTTTCGTTCCTTCTCTCTCTCTCACTGGCAGCCGCTCCTTTTCTCTCTCTCCCTTGCTCTCCTTCTTTCTTCGTTTGTGTCTGTCACTGGCTGCCTCTGCTTTAGCCCCTTTTGCAGACCGTTTCTCTCCCTGTCCCTTTCTCTTTTTGTCCCTCTCTCTCTGGGTACTTCTCTCTCGTTACACCCATCTGCCTCTTTGTCACTCTTTTTTCTCTCCATCTGTCTTTATTTCCCCCTATCTTTTCTGCCCGTTTCCTGTCTTTTTTCACTTCTGCCCTTTCACCCGTCCTTTTTCCCTTCCATCCTTTTCCACTCTGCCCTTTCCACCCTTCCCTTCCTTCCCTGCTCATTTTTTTTTCCCATCGGACCTTTTGTCCCCTCTATCTTTCACCCCTCTTCCTTTATTCACTCCTGGCCATTTTCGTCCCCGTTGCCCTTTCCCACTTCTGCACTTTTCTGCCTCTCTGCGCATCCTCCCTCTGTTCTTTCCCCTGCCCATTTCCCCCCTGCCGTTTTGCTGTACTCTGCACTTGTTTCCGCTCTGTAATTTTTACCTTTGTTTCCCTTTTCTGCACCCACCCAATTGTGCATCGCTCCCTAATTTGCAGACCCCAAATTTTGCAGCCCTATGAAATAGTAGTGTAATAGTTTGGGACATCATGAAAGATGTGAAACAAATAATTTGGTTTTCATTCGCTAACCTGACGGTATTTGTTTATTTCAATACTATACTTATGATGGTAAAGCTATGCATTCAAATGAAAAGTGTCGGATGTCACTGCGAATTCGGGAGCCATTTCAGATCTCGCCCTGATATATTGTTCGCCTGACGACTGTCACGTTCAGTGTCGCTCTGATAGTTCTGTACAGGGTCCGCCCAGTTCTGGGTCGCAGTGGGTCTCAGAGCGCAGTAATACACTGTGGAGTCTATCAGTTCTGTCTTAAGTACAATCAGCAGGATAATGCGATTCACATGATCAAACTCCGAGGGCAGCCGGTGTCCTGGAAATGTCTGGGTGTCCCCAACATATTTGCTTCTCTGTAGCAGATACTCCACGGATCCTCTGGGGTTCTGACGGTACCAGAACAAATAAGGAGTACTGTCTGTTGTGGTGTAATTACAGAACAATTGGACATCATCTCCCTCATTCACTTTGATATTAGCTGTTGGCTGTGAGACGGAATCTCCTCGAAACTGTCCAGTAAGAGTCAGCAGTAACAGTAAATTGCATAAAACACACATTCTTATCGCCCACAATTGGCCCTTCACCCAGAACAATAGCCTGCCAAATACGGCAACGAAACTAAATGTGGATGCATTTGATGCAACTCAACGGCTGTAAAGGGAAAACGCTTCGATAGATTAAATAAAGAGTTATTTAACATACAGGCCACGCCTTCTAAAGAGGTCATTTCCCACTTCATCTCCTGCGATTTGAAGGAAAATCTGCAAACAATCCGGTGGTTTTAAAACTTGCCTCTCCGTTAAATCATCTCAATGTCGTCCTTCCTGTTTGGATTCCCAGCTTAACTAATTCACTGTTTTTCACTCGTGGATGTTGCGAACTTCACCCACATAGTGCGAGGTGTCAGGCCAAGTCTGGGTCCAGACGATTATTTCAACTCGGAGAGAGTGCATCTTTCCCTCTACGTTGATTGAACTGCTTGTTTGAAAGTAATACCCGCAAACAGCTGAAGCATAGAGTTCCACAAGGTGCGAACTTACCAGTTGGAAAACCTGCAGGTGTAAAGAATAAACGCAGAACTCTCGGCGACATGCTTGCAAAGAGATAACGGTGAATGTGAGCAGAGCTGGTCGAAGCTGAAAATGTTTTCGTTCAGAGTTATGAAAAGATTCGGAAAAATTTCTGAAGAAGGGTCTAGAGCCGAAACGTCAGCTTTCCTGCTCCTCTGATGCTGCTTGACCTGTTGCGTTCATCCAGCTCTACACCTTGTTATCTCAGATTCTCCAGCATCGGCAGTTCCTACTGTCTCTACATAAATAAATACTCCAGCAAGTTTTCAATGAATGAAACTGTAGAACTGAATATTGCTTTTGCGACATTGTAAATGTAACTCCTGTCTCATTATCAGATGCACTGCAGCGTGTCAAGAAGATAGCTCACCACCATAATATTACAGACGGCTGCCAGCGCGCCAATAAAAGGATAACAGATTTTTAAAAAAGGAAAATAAAAGACATTGTGATAAAGTTTCCGTCAAAGTCTGAACGGGAATGGTGAGAGAGCAGACACACATGAACAACACATCCAAATCCTGACCCAAACGAACGTACTATGGTCAAGTTTACAAATGACAGAAAAATAAGTGGCAAGGCGAGTCGTGAGGATGACTCAAAGAGTCTACAAGAAGAGGATATAGACTGTTTAATTGAGGGTGATTATAGCATTCTCTGGCGGAACCTCCAGGCAATGTGCACCACTAACAATTATTTATGGGTGAGACAATATCAGTAGATGAATTTTCAGGAATCGTTATTGAGACGATTAAATTGTTTAACTGTGATGGAAATATGAACAAT